AAATTTAAATTAAACTTAAAAAATTTCAGAAAAATTTTGAAAAATTCTAGAAAATTGCTGAAGCTTAATTTAACCCCTTTTGACCTTTTTAAAGCTTCATAGTATCCTTTGATGAAGATTACATAACTTTAATAAATATTTACAATTTGAAATACAATGGAAAAAATTAAATTACATCATTGAACTTTCAAACGGCTAAATCAAAACCTTAATTACGTTCATTCAAAGATAAAATTACATTCAATTAACCTATAAGCTTCATCCATGGCCTAATCATACATCATGATTCATTCACAATTATACATACATCATCATGTATCAATAAATATCAACATGTTAAATTATACATCAATATACATCAATAAATATATATTTATGCATATATAATTTGGATCCATAAATGATGATTTTGGTAAAAACATGATCTCTAGTAATGAATCAAACCATGCTCTGATACCACTGTTGGGAAACATGCAAGTTTAAAAAACTTTCTGAAGGATTTTCTGTAATACCCCTAATTTTAAAAAGGATAAAATTGAAATTTCAATTATCTTTATTGCATTTTTATGTGACTAGTTGCTTAAATGTTTAATTGTTTTATTTGTTTTAAACTGTTAGTCTTGTATTTGAATTGCCTTATTTGGTTAAATATATTTTAATTAAATTAATTGTATTTTTGGTTGCTGTAGTTACTTTAATTGTATTATTAATTATTTTCTTGCATGGACGTAACTGTTTAATTAGATTAAGTGTATGAATTATCTTTTAGGGTTTTAGTATTTTTGTGGCTTGCCGACATAATTAATTGGGTTTTAAGTTTAGGGTTTTTATGGACTTTGGAGTTGGAATTAGTTATAAATATATAACTTATACGTCCCTAGGGTTTGATAACCCTATTCACGGCACAGTGAAAATACAGAGAGTTTTGAGAGAACTGAGCGAGAGAAAATAGAACAAAACTTAGGAGGAGAATAGAGAGGGCCAAGGGAGAGTTGTGGTGGCTTAAACCAAAACCATAGGAGGCTTGAAGATGGTCAGTGGTTGCCGGAAATTAGGAAGACGACAACACAGTTTTGAGACCAAAACTACAGGCAAGTTCTTCTCTTTCTCCTTCTCTTTGGCTCGTGTTCTGTGCACCTAGATAATCTCTAGGGTTTAATCAATCAGTAACTGGAATTTACATGTTTAATATATGTTATATTAATGATCTGGTTGTGTTGAAATCAAAACTATTACAATTTCTACATGTCTCGTTTCAATTTTCAGTTCTTTAAGCATGTTGCTCTGATACCAACTGTGATACCCGCATCCGAAAATCCGGGGGTATCACATTTTCATACATAGATCTTGATTCATCATATAGAGACAAGTTTTATATAAAAAAATAAAATATGATGTATCATTCAATTAATAGATTGAATACTTATATCAAGGTTTGAGTAAACCTTAGATCTTTCCTCTAAAGTGAATGTTCTCACTTATTGTAAATCGATTTCCTAGATGATTTCTCCTTGGATCTCCATCTTCTTAGTAATGGTTTTGCCTTTAGGAATCACCCATACGCCTCTATGAATAACCTTGAAAAACTAAGCTTGTGGGAGCCTCTATTAGATGAGAACGCAAACCTTAAAAACTAGAGAGAGAAAATATATTCTTTTTCTTTTTTTCCAAAAGTCTTCCTTAAAATATACATGGACTATGTATATATAGGCAAAATAAAGATAAGAAAAGAAAACAATAAATCCTTCTCAATCTCTAATTCATAAATCTCAAATCTAATAGGATTCCAATATCAAGTTGGGTTATAAGTGAGAATCTTTGGACTTATTATTTTCTTGGCTACAATGAATTAATAATTGGCCCGATCCATGGACTCAATTTAATTAATTCATAAATTAATTTCTACTCCACTAAAAGAAATTAATTGAACTCCAATTAAATAATAAATAACCTCTAAGTTAATGTCGCACTTTGACTCCTCTATGCATAATTAGTTATAGGATAAATAAAGCTATTAATCCGACTACTTAATTAATATATTTATTTTGATACATTTGATTATTTTCGGCTTAATCACAATAAAACATTTGTTTGACAAAAAATAATAATTTAAATAAATAAATATATAATAAATTATTTTGTCTAAAAACACACGAAGGCCTTCGAATTTACTTTGTGATTAACATAATCAATACAAAATAAATACAAGTAGCAATGATGCAAATATTGAAAATATAACACTCTAACTATTAATTACATAATTACCCAAAGTGCCGGTCTATGGATTCCAAAGATTCCGCCGAACAAATCAAAGTAATTACTAATTAATAAAATAATCTATACTTTTCTCATACTTAAGAGTCAAATGCCATGACAGTGATAGGGAGTAATTGCATACGACAGCCCTCACAATATATCTCAACCTAACGCGAATCCAATTCAAGTCTTAGTTAATAATAAGTCCATCCATAATTATCGACTCTGAACAATTTATGATTACTACTTATATTTATGTATTGATCGCCATCACATACATATATAAATATCTCTTGTAATCAAATGGACACTATCAATTCCATAATGAATCGAAACATAATACATTGAATTCACCAATTATATAAATCATAAATATTTCAGATATGTTAGGAATATATGTCACTAAAATTCAAATATGAATTTGCTATGTTAGGGCATATAAATTCCAACAATTGCAACAGTTTGGAGTAGAGTCAAATGAGAAGTGGGAGTTTCTAACTAAGCTGCTAAAGGAGAGAAACAAAAAATTCCTTGCTTTGACACAAGCTACCACAATAGTTAAACAAGTGTTATAGGTCAACCTGCACTTGAATGTAGTAGCATTCTTCATGAACTACCAGGTTAAAAATCATATGCTACCTTTATCCTTTTGGCACTTGCAATTCATTTTGATCAAGCTGCCATTTTTGTTTTCCTTGAAGCATTTGTTAACAAAATTATAGAAATATAAACTAAATATTAATATATGAACTGACAAAATTTACAAAAGTACTATAGTAAAGAAAAAATAAATACGTACCTTCTTTCCTTTTTTTAATTATTTTATCTACAATGAATTCATTACTCTTCGAATGTGGATGACATTTAGTTCTTGCTTTTATAGGAGTAGGTAATTTCTTCCGAGAATCTGCATACAACTACATTAAACTACAGGTTGACATATAACACTTGTTTGACTATTGTGACAACTTGTGTCAAAGCTAAAAAGCTTTTTCTTTGTCTCCTTTAATAGCTCCATTAAAATGTGATGACCGGGTTTTTATTTTTCCTTTTCTCACTTATTTCATTCATGTGTATTACATATTTTAATGGGATGGAGATATGTGTAATGGGTTTCGAGATTATTTTAGGCTTTTCATAGAGTCATAGACTCTTTAGAAATGTGTTTAGAATGATTTCCCTTTACTTTGAGTTCGTGGGCCGGGAGGTCGCTTGTGTGGGCCCAAGTTGGATTGTATGTTCGGGAGTTATTCTTGACACCATTTATTTTATTTTGTGGTGTAGAGACATGCATAGCATGGTGGATCTGTTGTAGGACTTATATGCATATGTTTATAGATGTTTATCCCTACATGGCAAGTTTGTAATTGAAATAACTATTTTGCCCTTATTGAAACCCAAAATAGATGAATAGTGTGAATGGCCATAGTACCTTTGTATGTCTTCGGGTCCGGGTAAAGACCCAGTTAGTATTTCGGACCCTCCGGATTTGAATTGTTGCATCCTCCCAACTTCAAAGGAATATTTATGCAAATGCACAATTGATGAGAAGATTTGGAAAGCACCCTTGCAGATGCTTGAATAACTTTGCACTGGTTTGCAATAATAACTTTTGGAACACGATCTAACGTACATGTCAACCATAACTTAAACAACCAGATGTATCTATATCTTCATTTGATAGCAAACAACAACCAAATAAAACAGATCCCGTGATGATTAACACTAACAAACAGAGCAAAAGGCATGCATACTTGTTTGTCAAGTAAGTAGTCTCAAAAGTGATAACGTCTCCAAAAGACACATACGTGACCTTACAACTAGCAGCAGCCCAAAACGTATTTCTTACGTGCTCTTCTTCGTCCATATCAATCATACAAAAAAAATTTGAATTACTATTTTGCATGAGATAAAAATATTATGAATGGTTTCAGCATCTCTACTGCCTAATCTCAATTAATTTGCTTTTGCAATGTAAATTTTGCACTCTCTCTCACCAAATGGTAAGTTCTAATATATACTAGCTTCAACAACAAGTGAATAAAAAAATTTTCTTAGTGTTTTATATATATATTTTTATTTTTTATATTTTTTTGACATGAGAATCTAGTACTTTGTTATTCTTGTAATGTCAAAGCTTTCCAACGTAACACATGGTTATGATCCAGATATAAACCATCTTTAGCTAAAACATTGATTTTGGCCTTACAATTTGTTTTAATTGAAGGCTTTAGATGAAAATAGCCTCTTACCCTTAATTTTGTCTTACTATTCTGAGCACATGCAAATGCAAGTAAAAAATAACTTAACTTTCCGTTAGTGCTAAATTTTGCACTTATTTTTGCTACACCAAAACCCCAATGTCTCGCATATTTCTTATAAAAATAATAAACCTCTTCTTCAGACTAAAAAATCATCCCTTGGGTTTTCCATTTCATCATCAACTAATTGATTTTCTATCTCTTGCTCATTCACTTCTCCAAATTGCAAGGCAAGTCCTACATTTCTCAGGGAAATGAAAGATATAATTAATTACCCAAATAACCCAAACAATGCAAAAAAGTAAACTTGCACTTTAGGAGGTGCACTGTGCACATGATGGGCCAAGTCTGGACATGTTATGTGAGCTCGAGTAAATGAAAGAAATAAAAACTGAAGCCCAAATAGGTACATGGCCCAAATGATTATGTGAATTTTCCATTGGGCTCAGAACTTATTAGGGTTCTTAGAAGTTAGACCTACTATGTTCATTTTTGCTTAGGAGTTTAACAGACCGGTTTGATCTCTCTCTCTCTCACACACACACACCACACACACACACACAGGCGAAGAGCTCAGCCGGAGAAGAGCGAGCCATGGTGCACGTTAACTTCTACCGAAACTGTAAGATCTAATACTTTATTTCTTTGTTTCATCTAAATTTTCAATCTATGATAATATATTTGTGTGCACACACACACATATACACACATACACACCCCAGTACTGTGCTTTTACATTGTTGTGAATCGATGTAATATCATGTTCCTTCCTAATAATTTATTTTCCATCTCTTTCGTTGCTATTTTCTTCGTTGATCTTAGATTTTGTTCTTCGATAGAGGGTATATTTATTGTTCAATTTGAACTCACCTGTTACTTAATATCGTTGCTGGAATTTAGGTATTTCTAATGAAACTTTGGTTACTTGATCTGTTTGGCAGATAACAGTATTCTGGATATTTGGTTTTCTATGTATAATTACAAAACCTTTTTGTTTTGTAGTCCATAACAAGATCGGATGATCAACTAAGCTGATTTTACTATATTTGAAATACTGTAATTGGCTAAGTTATTGAAACTTCTAATTTTGAACTAAACAGGGAAATGTACTTTTTTTTTTTTTTTTGATAAAAAAAGGGGAAGTACTTGTCAAAAAGAAAAATGTGCAGGACTTAGTTTTTTTGTATGTCTTTACCTTCCTCAATTCTTCTCCTCAATCGCTTAGTTGCTAAAAACTAGTGGACAAAAAATAGATGAAAACACACAGGTTGGGCCAAATAATTGTATTAGTGTTATTTCTCAAAAAAAAAAAAAAAAAATTAATTGTATTAGTGTTTGTTGAGTGAAGGTTTTGTTTTGTTTTGGCATTTTTTTTTTTTTATCCCAAATAATGAAGCGTCTAAGATTTAGAATAATAAAATATTTCTATTACATACATTTCTCTTGCAAATCAATTACTCCTGTTTGCTATGTTGTTTGATTCTCAAATTTTTTTTTTCCTGCCAATTCTGAATATAATTAGATGGGAAGACTTTTAAGAAGCCCCGTCGTCCCTATGAGAAAGAGCGGTTAGATGCTGAGCTGAAGCTTGTGGGAGAATATGGGCTTCGCTGCAAGAGGGAATTGTGGAGGGTTCAGTATGCTCTGAGCCGTATCCGTAATAATGCAAGGATGCTTCTTACCCTCGATGAGAAGAACCCGCGTCGGATCTTTGAGGGTGAGGCTCTTCTCCGCAGGATGAACCGCTATGGGCTTTTGGATGAGAGTCAGAATAAGCTTGATTATGTCTTGGCTCTGACTGTGGAGAACTTCCTTGAGCGACGCCTTCAAACCCTTGTGTTCAAGACTGGTATGGCAAAGTCCATCCACCATGCACGAGTGCTCATCAGGCAGAGGCATATCAGGTAAATTAGATACTTAAAATGCACACAAATGAAAGTAACGACTGGTAATTTTGTTCATGTTTCTTCATTTCTTACATTGTTTTATAACAAAATATTGGTGGTAACCTCCTTAAATAGTTACTTTATAAGCTATAATGTTCCAGTGGTGATTAAATAGTCCAGTTGGGCTATAATTGGATACTGTATTGTGTATTGTAAAGTTCCTATGGACCTATAAAAATGAAGCTGTCGAAAGGAGAAACTGTTACTAAAATTTTTCCCTTAGCACATATAATGACAAGGGAAAGGAAGTGGATTCCATTGTTTGTATGTTTTTATTTTTCTAAATCATCAATATAATTATGGCACAACATGAATAGTATTGCCTTTAATCTAATGGTTCCCTAAGGATTTGTGTTGCTATGGGAAAAGCTTAATAGTCATGGTGGAAATGTTAAAACAAAGAATTTTTATGATTTAAAAACAGCTCGAAAATCTGCTTCTGAGTCTACCAATATAAGAGTCAAAGGGAATGTATAATATATTGAATTAACTGATTCAAATAGCTTCTCTCAGAAGAACTAGATGCTTTGTCAGGCTTCCTGCTCCCCTGTTAAAGTAATAAAATTGGATCTGCTATTGATGAAATTTTTGTGAACCCAATCTTTTGACCTTATTCAGCCCTGAATAAATGGATTTTAGTTAATGTCCTTCCAGTGCCGTCATCTAATAGCCTTCAAGAAGAGTGCCAAGACAAAAGGTTGTCTAATAAAGTTGTCATTGTCCTAAATTTATGATTGACAACATTTAGACATTTGTAGAAGCTTAAGACTTAAGTTGCATTGATTGTGATTTGATGGGTGTTTGACCTGATCTGCAGTTTTTGAGGTGTATGATCTGGCCTGGAGAGCCAGAAAACTGATAACTATATCTTGTTACTAACTGTAGTCTGTGACTGTCAAACAGCGATTGACTAGTTCGTATTGAAGCATCTACAAATATCACATGTTCAAGAGATAGTTCAGCAAGAAGAGGATTAAGAATTACCAATCCTTTTGACGACTTCTATTTGCTATGTAAATACCAATTAAGCTAAAATCTGCCATCTTGTATGTGAAAGCTATCTGAAGTATTTCATAACTGGCATTTGTTACACGAGGGAGGGTTATTGATAGATTGCCACACAACCACAGAAAGTTTTCAATAAACTCAAACTTTTTTTTTTTCCTGAATCAATAAACTCAACTTTGATTTATTACGAAACTTATTGGGTTATACTTCAGCGCTGTGTTAGCTTCCTTTTTTAAGTGGGCATAAGGGTATTTTGTAATAGTTGTAATTATGGTGCCATTTTTATAATGTTGGAAGGTTACATGCTTAGACAATATTTTACTATGTTTCTTTTTGCTAGGATCCTCAACTGTTAATAACCTTATCAAATACATCAGCTGTTAAGTACTTGTAGCCTCCTTAAGATCCTTGGATTGTACGTATTTAATACTCAGAAACCTCATTTAGCTAGCTTATAGATAGAGTTGTGTCTTTCCATTCCAAGCAACGAAATTACAGAAAAATATAGACGCTAGTTTTTATGTTTTTTTTTTTTGGGCTTTTTGAATGGTTTATAGGCTCTAATGTTGTTTGTATTGAGATGCCTTAAAAATTTGTGGTGAGACTCCACAAGACCCTAGAATAAAAGGAGTGATTCTTCTCACTCTAGTGAGGTGTTAAAATTCAGGTCGTCCTCTCTCTCTCATTTTCTGCTCGTACTTTTATGATTTATTGATTTATCCATATTATTTCATTGAAAACCCAAGTTCCTACGTTATCTTACAATTATTTGGTAAGCAATGCGGTCATGTTTAACTATAGGTGAGGACATGAGTTACTAATAGAAAGAAAGGGACCTCTAAGGGCTCATAATTACTAATAGGCACACGAGTTATGAGTACTATAAGACTTGAAAATTTTATTGGCCTCTCCTGATTTTTCATTGAAAAAAGAGAGAAAAAGAACCTGTCTTTGCAGATAGTAGAAAAAAAGAATAGGCAAGCACAAAGTACTTGAATGAAGAGGATTACTAGAGCTCATTCCTATTATAGAGCTCAGGCTCAGGCTGGCCCTGTATTTGCAAGGGTGTAAAAACGGGCCAGATGGATCGGATCAACCTTAAGGATTTTAGATCTGGGCTCGCAAAGCTTGAATTTGGAAACCATGACCTAGCCTTGGCAGGTATGGGTTAGATTTAATCGTAATATTTTGTGAGCTAATATATTATTTTAATTTTATTGTGATGGGTTCAATTCCTTCTTGTTTCTCCTTTGATGTGGGAAGAATTGCTTTCCGTAATTCCCTTATTCTTCATCCTTGGCTTTTCATATACATCAATATATATACAAGCAGATATACATATACATGTATATGCAAATAATACAAATTCTTATTATACCCTTGTCCTTTTAGTCTTTTACTTTTTCTTTAGTAGGACCTAAATTGGAAACCAATGGCAAAGCTTTGGCCAACACGCATGAGTAATTGGGAGCCTTGGGCCAAGCCAAGGGCTTGAGCTTTAATTAGGTCAAAATTTTGCCTTTAAAAACTTTTTCTTCACACCACACACACACACACACACACACACACTAGCGCTGTCTATACTGGCGCAGAGGGTAGGATTATTAGCTTTAGGTCAATGTGTTTACACACGCCTCCTCATCAGACCAACTCTTTCTTACTTATTTTACTATTATCATTTTCCTTTCTTAATTTCTATTTCTATGTTAATTTTTTATTGTTGAGATTATTCTATATTGAATTCTATGACTTATTGTTATGTGCTCTTGTTCATATTGATGTATAATAATTCATAGTTGTATTATATATTGTTATTCATTGATTTATCACTCATTGTGTATTAATAAATTTGACGTATTGTGCTTAGTGGTGTAAAATATATAAAAGTTTCCTAACATATAATGCCAAATATTACGTTTGTATCTAGTCTATAGGTTGAGGTAAACTGAAGTTTGGCTCAAGATATAAAACTTTCAACCCAAACCTAACTCCGCCCAACCTTTAACCTGAACTCCCCACCCCAAGCTTAGCCTGTGTTCAATTTTTAAAATTTGGGTTATTGAAACCAGTCTGAAAATCAGGTTAATCTCAGCTTCGTCTCGGAGTTGGTTAGAATTAAGCATAAAGATTGAAAATATCAAATACTTATTTCTCTAAACTATTAATGTACGATAAATCGTGATTTAAAGAAAGATCAACTTAATTTTTTTTTTTATCACAGATATAAATATATAATACTTTTATATTTTTTCCTCGGTAATTGTGTTAGTTTCGTGTAATGTCCATGAAGGAGATTCTTGAAGTTAGAAGTGGAAAAGAAGTTGCAGCTGGTGCAAGCTAAACCGGCCACTACATCATCACCGCCTATATCAAAATTGGCAGAGAAGATCATTTTCATGGGAGAGAGAGAGGAGAGAGAGAGTTCAGGGGTGACAATGAGGAACGATAGGTTGAATGATTTAGGGTTTTGGATAGTGAAGGAGGAACGAACTTTCTCTCTCTTTCCTTTTGTTTTTCTTTTATCTTTGTCTAGTTTTTGGTTGGCACGGAGAGAGGACTCCAATTGAATGGTCAAGTTGAGTGAGAAGCGATATGGTGAGCTTTTGGGTTTTGGAGAGGGAGGAACAATTTCTATATTTTCTTCCCTCAAATTTTTGGTTCCAAAAGCCACCTACAAACGCTTTACGTCCAATCATTCCAGATAATGTTTGATCTTGTCTTACCTTTCGATTGGAATCAATTAAATCCATAGAGGAGTTTGTTGATCTTTTGGGTCCTCTGAGGGTTTAGAGGCCCTCTGTTCTTTTGTAGCTCTTTTGGGATGCTTTTCCCTTTTGAACGCTCTTTCATACATTATTTGCTTATCAAAAAAAAAAAAAAATTAATTGAGCTAAGCAAGCTTCTTGATGTTTGAGCTTGGCTCAGTCAAATTGAAAAAGGTATTCGAGCCTAATAAAATAACACACGCCAATCAATGAGAAATCCCCCCTCCCTCGTGCCAAGGCACTACAATACTTTTTCCACCAATCTATGCCACAAATTGTTCCTTCCCAATGCATTCTTCATGTCAGTGAGGTATTGTTCCAGGAAAGAGAGCACGAGTTTGACAAAATAGGAAGACAATGAGTTTTGGAGTTCATTGTATGGTTCAGGAAAAAACTAATAATCATTAGTTATTTAATTCAAAGAGACTTCTTAATAGATGCTTATTGGTTATAAAATAATATAAAAAATGAAATGCTATTGACATTCATATAGGTATATATATACACACGCACACACATATATAGATATATATATATTTCTGTGGTGCATATAAATACACATATATATATATGCAAACTCGTAAATATACATAGATATGTTGATATTCACATGCCCATGACATCTATGCATATGCACATGCACACAAATATATACAATACATTATATATATATATATATATAAGGTTATGGAATGTTGGTATGCACAAGACATACATATATATTCATATATGAACATTTATATGCATGGGAAATTACATTGACCTTCCTTAATTTGGGGTGGGTTTGGGTCGAGATATTGAGAACATGATTCTAACATGAGGTTTTTTTTTATTTTATATAAATATTAATAATTTTACAAATATTAAATATTTATAATTATAATTGACCTTTTCTTCTTCTTTTTAAATCATAATGCATATTGTTACTGATTGTATATTACCTTTGGGTACTTATAAAAAATAGTATATTAACACTTTCGGAAAAATTTCTTATATTTTATACATATTTACATTTAGTTTTTAGAAATTTTGTAATTATAAATAGGAGTATTATGACCCAAAGCTAAGCTTAGAACTTCTGTGTATGTTATTATCACCAGAACTTGCTTTAAAAGACTCGGATATTTTTTTATTTATTATTTATCTTTTATGCTTGGCAGGGTTGGAAGGCAGGTGGTTAATATTGCATCTTTCATGGTGAGGGTTGATTCACAGAAGCATATTGATTTCTCACTGACAAGTCCACTTGGAGGTGGAAGACCTGGCAGGGTAAAGAGAAGGAACCAAAAGGCGGCTGCTAAGAAGGCTGCAGGTGGTGGAGGTGGAGATGAAGAGGATGAGGAGTGAGTAGTACTACTGGTGGTAGTCCATAATAGGATGTTTCTCATCTTGTGCTTGAACCATGTCGGGCTAGTTTTATTATATGTGACTCAAGTAATATGTTTTGTTTATGGAACTATCAATATATGATTTTGGATTAACTTTTACTTGCATTTTATTTTATGTGCCCTAATAGATGTTTGGAAATTTTATTTTAATCATTTAGAAGAGAACAATGAATTATGGATGGTTACATTTCTTTTGAGTTAAGAAGCAGACTAGTGGATGTTTTGCCTTTTCTTTATCAGACTAATTACCGAGAAATTAGTACATGGTTCCCGGACCATTGGTCCAGGCCAATCATCTGTTGACACAAACAAATGTGTAAGGTTCGTGTCAGCTTTATTAAGCTTTTTGTTTTTGTGTGAATTGGTGATTGGCCAGGTCGATTGGTACCGGACCGTGTAATAATTGTTATTAGTTCGAAAGTCAAATGGCTGCTGGGAGGAAACACCTCCCCTCAATGGGTGTTTTTGAAATCTATGTGATGATAAAACTAATTTTTGGAACAATTGGTAAAGGTTGTCTTTCCATCCAAGGAAGTTAGATCAACTTTTATAGACTTTGTCATGCGAAATGTGTTATTCATGGGTTTATATTTCCATGTATAGTTTGATATAAAATTAAGCAGTTTACCATTAAGGTTTTACCTATTGCTAGTAGATATGTAAGAATTTATTTAATACTATCATAGCTTATATCAAATGATATATTTACTCAAAGGTATTAGTTCTAGTTATCATTTTTTCTCACCAATCTTGTAATAATGAAAGATATAATTTGCAAACGGTTCTCAATAGTACTATCACATGTACATTCTTTCAAGTTTCCCAATCTATTTCCAAGCTTTTGAGTCCCAAATAGGGCAACTCCCTAATGCACTTGGTAAGAGTGTTCTATTGTGTTCGAGCATCATACTTTCACAAAGAAATTGTATATAGTGCAACTTACAATAAAACTCATTTTAAAACTAGAAAAATTATATTTAGTGCAACTTAGCGAAAATAAAACTCACTAACCAGAAGAACTCTTCTTTCTCTATAATGTCAACAAACAACTCATTTTAAGATTTGAGAAATAATATTTAGTGTGACGTGACAAAGCTATTTAGACACATGGTACTTGTGGATCCCATTACTTGTTGGGTCCCACGAATATCATATTAGAGGTTGGCACACAAAATATTAGTGTTTTTTAGAATTATATTTTATTTTATTTTATTTACATGATGTTGAATCTCTTAAAACATTTCATAATTCACCATCGAACACATATAATTTCTCATCCTACATACATCGTAAATTTCATTCTCGGTTGTTCTTGCAAGAAAAGCTATGCTAGCCACAAACTATTATTAGTGTCGCATCAACTACAAATTTGGCAAACCCTAACTACCAACCGCTGTTTTCATGAAGGATAAAATAAAAATTAATGGGCAAATTTTTAATTTTTTTACAAAGAGAGAAGTAAATACCATTTTTTATATTTATTTATTTTTTTAAAAAAAGAGAGTAGTAAATACCAAAATTGACGAACAGTAACAGTTTTTTTTTAAAAAAAAAATTCTTAAAAAATACACTGAACTAATCAGAATCTGCCACGTGGCAAATCAGTAATCCAATTACTGGTTAATGAAAAGATTGGGACAGTCTTAACGAACTAACTGTCTCGCCTCATTGGAAAAGACGAAGCTGTTATAGTATACATATATATATACCCAGCCGTAAATTGTAATAAAATCTAAGACCGCCCATCAGTAGGTGATATACATCTCAAATCAGGCATCAGATACTTGAACGGTGCTGATAAACACAACAAACCACTTTGCACCAAAAATATCCACGATATACTGTTGCATCCAATCTCCCCCCATTTCCCTCCATTTCACGCTCTTCTAACAATCTCTCTCTCTCCACACACACACACACATCCATTTCGCTTCATCTCTCTCTCTCTCTCTCTCTCTTTCTCTAAATCCATAAATCGAATTTCTGCGAAGTCACAGCTCTGTTCTTTCTTCTGCTTTCAAACTCTCTCTCTATCTACAGATACAAACCCTCTCTCTCTCTCTCTCTCTAAAAATCGATGGATCGAATTTGTGCAGTGAGTGTGTCTGTGCTGTTTTTTCACAGCTCTGTTGATCTCAGTGCGATCAGTGAAACATTCGCCGGACAAGTATCGCTACGAAGAAGTCGCCGATCTTGTACCCCTATTTGCAAACAATGCTTACACCGATAACTATCCATATATGGTACGTAATTGATCCATCACTCCAATTAATCTCTACAAATAGTAACCGATCACTCACTCCAATATTGTTTATCAATTGAATATGATGAATCTGTAACTTTGTTCTGTACGATTAATTCGATTCTTTGTTGCATCTCTTGATTATCTTTTTTTCTTTGAAGAATATCAATCTCAAGAAGGTCATGAATGAAATTGGTTGCTCAAAACATTCAACATTGATGAGCAATATGTGTATGTGTGTGTTTTAGCTTAATCTTAGGGTTTATTAGTTTGTCTCATGCATATATGTGTTCTTTACTTCTTTTTCTTGAATGTATTTTCCAACAATTTTCACTGTGATCGAAGTTCATGCGTGGTTCTTGATCTTTTTGTTCACTGTTGTTAATCAAGTGTTTGATGAGATATATATATATATATAAAAATTCAAATACATACATACATATATATATATATATATATATATATATCTATATATCTGTTTCAATCCCCTACTGATTCAAGACTCGAGTCTACTTTTGCAGTTCTGCAATCCCATCCTCCAGGAAGTCAGTGGTGAAATGTTAAGGGAAAACCAATTAATTAGATTTTCTGTACTGTGCAAGAAAATGCTATTACCTTTTTTAATCTGTGAAGTGTATATATATATATATATATATATATAGTGTTATTGTACTGTTCATTGTTATGATGCTCACAATCAAAACAATTATTGACCAATACATTGTTCTTAATTCCACTGGTTTTATATTATAGCTGAATCACAAGAAGTTGTTATTATGCATTATGGACTAATCCATTTTTATAATCTTATAATATCATGTGGGATCGAGATACAGATTCAAATACATGGAATTTAATTCGAATTTAAATTGCAGATCCAGTAGAAGATAGGAAGAAACCCTTGAGAGAGATTCTGGAGGGTGACTGCTTCGCCAACACTGGATATGAGCTGAATTTTTTTTTTTTTTAGTTAAAGGATATGAGCTGAATTTTAAAGTTGATAAAAATGAAGAAACTCTTTGTGAGAAGAACTTTTTTTTTTTTTTTTGAAAAGTTTGTGAGAAGAACTTGACAAAAGATGAAGTTGACAAGTTTAGATATGCTATCGAAAACGACTACAGTTATCACATGGACTATAATGGCATCGTGGTGACTGGTGATGCCGGCCATACTGTAGAAGGCCCCAGGCGCTATGATGCAGAACATTATCTTTTCCAACACATCACCTTCAATGTCTTGTACGTCGGAAACCAAGTTCAGCACATCCTCATTGCAAGTGACTTGAATTCATCCACTGCTCTACCTGAAAAGATTGATGGCAAGAATGTCAAGTTCACTTATTCTGTAATCTGGAGGAACCTAGAAGAAATTGATGTACGTTTGCCTGACCCGAACAAATTGCTTGAAGAGCTGCAACTAAAACTGGAATTCATACAATATTCAGCCGTATATATTGGTTTACTCATTACCTTCTGGCTTGTGGTGCTTCTAATATACCTAAGGTATTAGCTCAACCGGTACATATCTTATGAAGCAACTTAATTTATCCTCTTAACTTGTATATGCAAACTAGCATGCCATTGACAATTTTGATAGCATAACTACTATTCATTGACTATATATACATATATATATAAACTGCAGGCGGAATTTCAATATACCGATACTTATGAGGCAAATCCATGGTAAAGGATGCAGGTGTCCTCCATACCACTCTTTATTTGGTGCTATCCTGGGCACTGGCAGCCTGCAATTCGTTCTGTAAGCTATTATAGCCATAGCTTCTTTTATTTATTTATTTTTTATATATATATATTAATTTCCAGTAAATTTGTTGCTTATTTGAAGTGATCAGAAGATTAATTGAAAACTTTGAATCATATTCTTCCTTCCAAAGTAAGTGTGATAACCACATATAGCATGTTTTACTTCACAAGAAATTAACATATTGAAAAACTTCAATTGACACTATTTTTATATCACAACTCTCATATACGCATGTACCACTTCAGCTCAGCACCATTACTCCTACCTTCTGTGCTCACACCAATTGAATTCTTTCAGAGCTCTGATATGGATTTAATACATGAATTCGCATATTCTTTGTGGCATCACTACTAGCCTATATAAAAAATGATACTGCAACAAAACTTCATGTGATATTTTATTGTTTCAAAAGAAGCCATATGAATTGGCAAATTTTATGTCAATCTCAATTCCACGTTAACTTAATTATTTGACAGTTTCCATGCTCATAATTCGTTTCAGATTGTGCTCTCTACTCCTAGTGATACATAACGGGTATCAGTTTCCTTGCATTTGGGGTTTTTTGCTTGATAGTCTTCTTTTGTTATATTGGATCACATCTGTGGTTTCTGGGTACATTTTGACTTCATTTCACAGACGATATACTGCAGATGGATTGGTACGAGTTTGTTTTATTTCACTTATGCATTATTCATGTGCCTTTTTATTTCACACCCTTCACTTAATTTTCCTTTTCTAATGGTTTGTGCAGCTAATTAAAATGTGTTTTCCAGACTGGGATTGTGTACGTTAAGCCGGCCTTCCTAACATATTTTACTGTGAATGTATTAGAAGGTTATGTTGGGAACTCGGATCTCTCTCTAATTCTCTCATTGGGAGTATTCACATTCGCATATTTATATGTGGGCGGCGTCATGGGACGTGGTGTTAGAGCTCAAGCTCAACCACGTTGTGCTACGAGGGGATTCCCAATGGCGGTGGCTCCTCAAGTACACTGGTACACACGGGCACCTGCTCAAGTGTTTTTTGGGGGGCTTTTACCTTTCAGTACAATCTTCTTCCAAATGGACTCCATATACGCGAG